TCATAATACGTAACGCTTGGAGATGCAAGCTGTCGAAACCAGTCAAACGAGCTGGCAGATGCTAATCAGCTAGCGCTATTGAAATTCACCAGCCAATAAACAATTAACTAAGCAAATCAGCACATCAAAACTTGCATAATTTGACCAACATGTGAGAAGCCATTGTTATCAATTCCATGTATTGAAATTCCCTAGCCGACTGACCAGTTTCAAACACAGCCGACCAGCCTATAAACAATTAACTAAGCAAGTCAGCACATCAAAACTTGCAAAATTTGACCACCATGTGGGAAACCATTGTTATCAATTCCAAACCGGACAGATGGGTAGTGCCATGCTTTCAAACGTGGACTGGAGGTGTCGGGTATAAATGCAGGGGTATCTTGGCATAGGGTCATTCCTGCATTTCGCCTGGGAACCTCTCTGTCTGTTTTTGAAGTCGTGGAGATCCCGGAGTTAATTCCCCGAAAAAATTCTAGGCATAAACGGTCCCTTAAAAAGGACGGTTTCAATAATATGAATATTAAAATTCATCATCACTTTTCAAGTTTACAAAAATGTCTCCAGTTGGAAGATGTCACAGATAAACAAGGATTCTAACTAAGTTTACAAAAATGTCTCCAGTTTGAAGATGTCACAGATAAACAAGGATTCTAACTGAGTTTGACCGTCACAGGTTTATCTCCAATTTGCCAGCACAATGCAGAGGATTAACAGTTACTGTGAGTGAGCATGGTTTTACGCCGCTTTAAGCAGTTACTGTGTTTATACAATTCCCACAGATATCATGCCAAAAACGCTCACAGTAGTTAGTGAGTAAACTCAACTGAGGATTTTACAAGTATCTATCACAACCTTTGAAAGCTAACATGTGAATAAACTCAGTTCACTAAAACTTAAATAATTCAGGCACTTGCAGTGACCAGTTAACAAGTAATCAGTGAGATATTATATAAATACTGGGAACGCCAAACAACTTCATTGTAAATAGACAAATGCACCTGTGAATGGTCAAGGTTTTAAAAACCGAGTGAAACAAAGACGAGTGGCCAGCCTACACTGGAAATGCTGTATGCTGCATGTCCAGCCTGCATCAACACCCCCAGTGATCTAGTCGTGATTCCGAGTCTTGCGCATAACCATTGTCATGACCTGGTTGAGTGACTTACTTCCACCAACGTGAAAGGATTACCCACAGAGAAAGAAAGGATTAAAATCCTAAAGATTTCCTATCCAAATGGTATAAGTATTCACAACCAATTTCCTCTAATAGTAAACTGTCACCTTTGGTATCCCCAACATCACTCACCATGGTCATTGGGCAAATGTAAAAATCACAAGCCCTAACGAGATTCTGTCTATATAGTCACACCCGGTGATTGTGAAGATCTAAAATTCTATCAACAGCTTGTTTGTTTGCTGTTTAACGCCGTACTCAGCAATATTCCAGCTATATGAAGGTGGTTTGTAAATAATCGAGTCTGGACCAGACAATCCAGTGATTGACATCATGTGCATCGATCCACGCAATTGGGATACGATGACATGCATCAACCAAGTCGGCGAGACTGACCACCCGATCCCGTTAGTCGCCTCTTACGACAATCATGGGTTGCAGAAGACCTATTCTACCCCGGATCTTCACGGGTCGGATCCTATTCAAGCACTATCCACACATAACATCCATTGTGACAATGGAATAGTTTCATCATACATCATTATCATGTTTTGTGCATGCAGGTCATTGGTTCAATGCATAGAATAGCAGATAATCAAGTATTAGCTTGGACGTCGTTTTAAAAAGGTGCCCACGCAACGTTGCATTAACAGTTGTTGATCAAATTCTGATTTGAGTCCATGGATGCCCCAGTCGTCTAAGGCTCAGCAATTCACTGTGCAGAGTTAGGTCCATTGAAAACATATGATTGTGAGATCGAATCCCGGTTCGCCCCGATTACCTTTCTAGGTTTGCCAGCACCACACCCGTGCTTGTGGGTTTCACCAAGGTGATAAACGTTTGAAACCTGCATCACTATGGGCTTTCATCCAACGTCTAGCTGGCACGCCGCGATATAACTGGGATACTGTTCAAAACAGCGTTAAACCCAACACACTGACTCACACAAAACCTGACTTCAAATGTGAGGTGTCCTGTGTCAGGATTACATATATGGTTCAATGGTCAGTGTTTCATGATATATGACTGATATCATGAGCATTGATCCACGCAATTGGGATACCATGTTAGCGAGCCTGACCATCCGATCCCGTTAGTTGTCTCTTACGACAAGCATAGTTGCCTTTTACAGCATGCATGGGCTGCTGAAGATCTATTCTACCCCGGATCTTCACTGGTCACGAACCGACCTGATGACATATTGCTTTGTATATTATTACACATGTATGCTGGCCAGGTTTCCCCACGTACATCAATACATTGATTAGACCATATTGATATCCTATTTGATGCTAATGTACCAGTAAGTTGGTCAAGCCTTACTTTTAGGAGACTTACATGCTTTCTATTTTAACATAGATTACTAATGTTGTTGATTGGATATATATACCCATTGTTGGATGTATCGTTAATGATTTGGGGATTATGTGATATCTTAAAAATGCAGTAATTGGTGCTCTTATACAACAATTCGTAATTCAACGTTTGCCATATCAACATCAGATGTCGATTCTCCAAATTTAATTGCTCGATATTTTTATGACAGTTCATTAATCACCAATCACTCTTATAATACAACATGTCACACACGGCATCAAAGGCATTGCTCCATTCCACATGTATCTTGTAATATACAGCAAACGCCAACACCATTCCCTGATGAATTAAATTAATATGCGTGAGTGTTACACACAGTGTAACCGCTCAAATTAGAACTTGGAAATAAAAGTGACATCCGTGTACATTCTACGAGTGCGACCATATCAAGTGTTCATGAATAACTGAAAAGTAGTGATGACATCGGATGTTTGCGAAAAGGTGCGATTTTTCTGCCCCACACATTGCGAACACGTGTAAAGGCAAGTCAACGTCTCACATAAAAATGATGGCCTTAATGTGAGAATGTTAGTTCTTGTAAATAAGTCAATAAAAGTTTAAGCAGTGATGATGTCAGTTCACATATGGGCCTTGTTCTCGGTAGCTATTGAGACCACTACGTGACTCCAAAACTGATCCGCATCGTCATGAGTGAAGAAGGCTTTGGTTCCTAGCTAGCCCAAATGTTCTGTGGCTTTAATGTTTGGCGATTTGGACAGCCATGTGAAAGTGGTAATGTAATGTATTCATAGGCAAGAATGGGACGTGCAGTCCGGCATTATCTCCTCTGAACATTCTCTCTTATGGTCAATAATAAGAATCATGTGTAAAACGTGATCCCTGTGACGAAAAGCTATTATAATTGTCCCGTTTACACAAGATAGGATATCCACAATTATTCTTTTGTAGGTGAAGTGATGTGTGGTATATTATGTTGAATTTTGTTTAACGACAGTCAGCAAAAACTGACAAGCTAGCGACGGAAATTATATTTTATATTATTGTGTAGCAAGCAGAGGCATAGGCAGATCCAGGGTTTCTGGTGTCACCACCCATCAATTACCCGTAGACGCATGTTCCCCGAACTGACCAACAAGCAGCGCATAGTTAAACTACTTTATTCTGCAATTTTAACATTTTACGTCAGGAATTATGCTGAGCTCTCTCATTCACCCGAGTGACTCCGAATTGGTGATATGTAGTCCCAGGAACTGGCTACTTTTTATGTTTCGCTTTTTGTTTCCTTATATTTCTTACTTCCTCTTTTTTCAACTGATGTTTTTGTAACGTTAAATAGTCGAATAAAACAGTGGCTGTTGATGCGTCTTTTGTCCTCAAAGCATACGTCCTTTCGCTAAAATATTCTGATCTGTCCATGTTGTGGTGTTCGTTCATTTAGAACGCTGAGTTTTGCTGTACGCGTCAGTGGAAACATTTTCAATAAAACGAAGCTGCAGGAACTACTTTCTTTGTGTTTCAATGAGTTTCAATAGAAGAGGGCATATGTCATTTCTCGCCAAATATTGAATGAATGGAGCACGTTTGATCATTTATGTCAGGTCAGTTGATGAGAAAACATTATTTGAACAGAAACACCCTGATACATCCCATCTCAGGTGGTGCGTCACACGTTTCACGTGAATATTTCACCTTTGATACAACTTAATCGTGGTGTGAAGATATGTGTGATCATTTTTGTTAGAAAATCTAAATTAAATTGCATTGCGAGAGTTGTTTTTAACTAAATGCATTGTCAACTGACAGCAAGAGCACTGTATTTTTTGTAGCCTAATTTTCGAATTTTATTTTATCCTTTTACTGACATTTGGGTTCTCCTACGTTCTGTACCGCTTCAGACGTTTCCTCCGCATGAACCTACATGTAACACGCTGGGATATAACTTACATGAAGGAGAGGCGATACAACTTTGGAATGGTCAGCAGTCCGAAGGGATCGAGCCTACAGGAACACACTTAATAACATTGGAAAGTTTATGTTCCTCAAATGAACTCAAATGCATTTCTGAAGAAAATTCTGACTGATTTGTTTTGTACTGCAGAAATTTCTGGAAGAATCTTTTTTATACCTCCAGAAATTTCTGCCAGACATTTATTATTTACCACTTTGTATTATGTACTTCAAAATATCGCTCAGCAGTCATTTTTGTAGTAAACAACACGTTTGTGTTGAAACATTAGGCTCTGTGGTCAATCAATATATTTTGCAGTAAGAGAAAATCATTTCGCCTGATAGACAAGGGAATCATATCAAGATTTTCAACAAATCATTTCATACTCCCCTGGCTTCAAATGCCCGATTAGCTACAATGAAAACCAAATGGTGGATTTTTCATACTTTTATTATACATGGTTTGATACAGAAAAATGGCGTGACACCATAGTTCATGAAAGTGAGCCTCACAAGTATGATATTGAAACTACCTAGTCCCACAGTAGTTGTAAGTGTGGCATCACGTTCGAGTGATTAGAGGACGGTGCACAATCATTCGGGGCACAACTGCGAGTTTTCCAGGTGGTACCCGGTCCAAGTAATGCCCATCACAGTGGCCTTTGTCAGGTACCAACTACTTGTCCTCCACAGCTCGTTCAAGTCTTGGTGGATCAAGTGATTCATACTGAATGAAAAAGAAAGACAACGTTACAAGTAAGCACTTACATATTGGTGGCATGTAGAATTAGTATTGTCGTAACATTGATTTTCAGCCATCAGCGCGTTTTGTTTCTCATAATTAATGCTATCTGTCTCTGCTGATCAATTTGAATGGCACTGACAGCATTGAAGCAATGAATTTCATACTTCATCTCGCCATGGATGTTGATCAAACAACCGTGACCATAATTTTAAAGGTTTAAATTGTTACAATATTCCCAGGTGTATGGGATCCATTTCTACCTTATGGCACTAAGCTTACATGTTTACAACAGTAATGCTATTCTACAACTACCTACAGATGCAAGGACAAACATGTAAAACATATATGAATAAATATATTAAATTACATGCAACACAGAACTAGTCCCTACATAATTTTTCTTGAATAGCGAAAACTTTACCACAACAAACGTGTATCATGACCCATTTTAACGTCCATCTGCTCAAGTGACAGATGACCTCATCAATACATGTTTTAGATTCAACACGGATACCTCATGTTGCCAAATGCAGTAGAAATTAGTCCTGTGCCTCAAGCTGTCAATGTAAGCACTCTTGGTTTGATAACTTCACCTCTGTAATGGGAAAACAGACAAACTGACTTAATTGCAGTAAAGGCCAAACATAACATAAGCTCAATGCATCACAACCTAAAAACAGTTCTGCACCAACATTACTAAGAAAGTTGTTGGCACTTCCAGTTTAATGACATCATTTCCCGTTTGGAAAGAAGACAACTTCAAAACAGAAAGTGTTATTCCACTAGCTACCATAAACAGAAAGTTATAAGCACTTTTGGTGTAATGACCTTGACCTCAATTTAAGAGAATCACATGTTTGATTATTTTTAGTTGAAAACATAGGTGTAAGCTCTTACAAACATGTTATACACACACATTATATCCTCAGTACATAAAGGAGCATAAGTACCTTAAGACAGACCAATCCAGTGATCTTAATCTTTATAGAAGGTCACTCAAAACCTCACCACTTCAAAGCGCCGCCCTCAGGACGTCGTCAATCCACAACTGGTGATGAGAACTGGTTGTAAAATCATAATTGCTGAACGAGTGACGTGCCAACCAATCGATCTTAGGAATTAATTGGTTTGTGTCATTTTAATGTTTTTCAGTGCCATGTCCAGAGAATCTAGAATACACTTAACAAAAACAAAACAAACCTTCGACGTAAAAACATTTGGGGGATTATAATGGAAAATTGCATTTGATTGCCTTGTCATTTAGACCTTATAGTAGGTCTTCGTCATTTCAATTAATTGTAACTACATTGAACGTTTTTATTATTGAGAACACGTGACCTTGACATTATCAATATCAACTGCAATATTTTCAAGGGTTAACCAGTATATAAAACCAAATATGAAGTCTCATGGTGGAATTCAATGTAACAACGAAAATATGGTACATGCTTTTCATTGAAAATAGGTCACTGTGACTTAACAAATATCTGCAGAAATAGACACTGAAGTGAAAGGCACTGTTCTGCCTCCAGGGTGTCCTCGTGACAGTGACACTGGATATCTTCTGGCAATCATTTCCTCAAGAGGTCTCGAATAATTTCGTGACAGTGAATTATCACTGAATATTTTCTTAGCAATCAATGCTTCGAGATTAACACTCTTGGAACTTTCATACCTCTTAATGACAGTGAAGTGTCATTGAAAATATTCTTCGTAATCAATGCCTCAAACCGGCCGATTGGAATTCTTCTGTCTCCACGGTGTCATCGTGAAAGTGAAGTTACGCAAAATATATTCTTGGCAATTAATGCCTCGATATGTCCTCATGGAAATCTTCTGCAACCTGGGTGTCTTCATGACAGTGAAGTGTCATTTAAATTTTTTTAGTAATCAATGCCTGGAAATTGCCTCTTAGAACTCTTCTGCATCCAAGATGTCTTCATGACAGGGAAGTGCCATTTTAAAAATATTGGAAATCAATGCATCGAGATGTCCTCATGGAACTCTTCTGGCTCCAGGGTGTCTTCGTGACGAAGAAGTATCATAGAATATATCCTCAGCAATCAATGCCTCGAAATGTCCTCTTATGAATCTCTTCTGAATGCGGGGTGTCTTTGTGACAGTAAAGTGCCACTCAATATATTCTTGGCAATCCATGCCTCGAGATGGAATTCTTCTGCTTCCAGGTTGTTTTCGTGACATTGTATTGACACTGAATATATCCTTGGCTGTCGTTGCCTCCTCATGATAAATGCCACTCTTCTGCCTCCAAGTTGTCGTCGTGACAGAGAATTGTCAATGAATATAATCTTGGCAATCATTGCCCCTCGTGGAGTTATTGACACTCCTCGGCCTCAAGGGTGTCTTCGTGACAGGGAAATGTCACCACATATATTATCGACAATCATTGCTTCGAGATGTCCCGATGGAACTCTTCTGCATCCTTAGTGTCTTGGTGACAGGGAAATGTCACTGAATATATTTTAGCAATCAATATCTCGACATGTCCCCATGGAATCCCTTTGCCTTCCTGACTGTAAAGCGTCACATTAATTGCCTCAAGATGCTTCATGTCACTGTTTTCCCTCCAGGGTGTCTTCGTGCCAGAGAAGTGCCACTTAATAATTCTTGGCAATCAATGCCTCGAAATGTGCACTTTGATCTCTTGTGCCTCCAGAGTGTCTTCGTGACAGTCAATTTCCACTGAATATCTTATTAGCAGCATCACTGCATTCATATGTCTTCTTGACCTTCTTTTGCCTCCAGTGTGTGACCGTCGTTATCCAGTGGTCGGGCATGCTTCAGGCGGATACAAAGAGGCTGACACTGCCTCTGACAACCAAACAATCCCCGATTTTGAACCTAAATCTAAAGAATTTGGAAGTGTCTTTCTATAAAGTAATGCGCCTACGTGCAAGTTGTTAGTGCGGGTTAGTGCAGTGTTAAGTCCCTGAACCTAACGTGCCTCAGAAGCATACCCGACCCTTAGATAGAGGTCTCCAGAGGTCTTATTTAGGTAATAGTGACCATGGAAGGTGGGAAACCTGGTCCTGGAGAGTCTCCTCGTGATGCATTTTGCCTCAAGGATGTCTTATTGGCAGACATATTCCTATAGAGAACTGTTTGTTCATTTTCTGCCCCCAGAAGTCTTGTTGGCACCCAATGCTTCCAGTGTTTCTTCGTGACAGTCAATTGCCACTGAACAGCTTCTTGGCAAACATTGCCTCCAGACGTCTCCTTGCAACTCGTCTGTGTCTTTTCTGTGATTTATTACAGACTATCCGATGGCCCATCAATATCCTCTAAGAACCCTTCTGTCTCAATGGTGTCTTCGTGACAGTGAAGTGTCACTGAACGTATTCTTAGCAATCAATGCCTCGAAATGTCCTCATCGAATTCTGCTACCTTCAAGGTGTCTTCGTGACAATGAAGTGCGACTCAATCTAATCTTGACAACTAATGCCTCGAGATGTCATAGAATTCTTCTGTCTCAAGGGTGTCTTCGTGACAGTGAAGTGCCACTGAACGTATCCTCAGCAATGAATGAATAGAAATATCCTTTTCAAAGTCTTCTGTCTCAAATGTGTCTTCGTGACAATGAAGTGCGACTCAATATAATCTTGGCAATCAATGCCTCGAGATATCAAGGAACTCTTTTGCTTCCAAGCTGTCGTCGTGACAGTGAAGTGTCTCTGAATGTATTCTTAGCAATCAACGTCTCGAAATGTCCTCATGGAATTCTTCTGCCTCTAGGGTGTCTTCGTGACAGTAAAATGCCAAGGAATGTATTCATAGCAATCAATGCCTCGAAAGGTCCTCATGGAATTCTTCTGCATCCAGAGTGTCTTCCTGACAGTAAAGTGTCACGGCACGGAACGTATCGTTAGCAATTGATGAATAGAAAATATCCTCTTCAAAGCCTTCTGTCTCAAGGGTGTCTTCGTGACAATGAAGTGCCGCTCAATATAATCTTGGCAATCAATGCCTCGAGATGTCATGACACTCTTCTGCATCCAAGGTGTCTTCGTGACAGTGAAGTGTCACTGAACGTATTCTTAGCAATCAATGCCTCGAAATGTCCCTACGGAAATCTTCTGCCTCCAGGGTGTCTTTGTGACAGTGAAATGTCACTGAACGTATCCTCAGCAATGAATGAATAGAAATATCCCCTTCAAACTATTCTGTCTCAAGGGTGTCGTCGTGACAATCAAGTGCCACTCAATATAATCTTGACCATTAATGCCCCGAGATGTCAAAGAATTCTTCTGCATCCAAGGTGTCTTCGTGACAGTGAAGTGTCACTGAATGTAATCTTGACAATCAATGCCTCGAAATGTCCTCATCGAATGTAATAGAACTCTTCTGTCTCAAGGGTGTCTTCGTGACAGTGAAGTGCCACTCAATATAATCTTGGCAATAAATGCCTCGAGATGTCATAGAACCCTTCTGCATCCAAGGTGTCTTCGTGACAATGAAGTGCCACTCAATATAATCTTGACAATTAATGCCTCGAGATGTCATAGAATTCTTCTAAATCCAAGGTGTCTTCGTGACAGTTAAGTGTCACTGAATGTATTCGAAGCAATCAATTCCTCGAAATGTCCTCATGGAATTCTTCTGCATCCAAGGTGTCTTCGTGACAGTGAAGTGTCACTGAATGTATTTAATCAATTAATCGAAATATCCTCTTCAAACCCTTCTCTCTCAAGGATGTCTTCATGACAGTGAAGTGCCACTCAATATAATCTTGGCAATCAATGCCTCGAGATGTCATAGAATTCTTCTGCATTCAAGGTGTCTTCGTGACAGTGAAGTGTTAAAGGAATGTATTCTTAGCAATCAATGCCTCGAAATGTCCTCAGGTATTTCTTCTGCCTCCAGGTTGTCTTTGTGACAGTGAAGTGTCACTGAATATATTTTTAGCAATACATGCCTCGAAAGATCCTCTTCAAACTCTTCTGTCTCAAGGGTGTCTTCGTGAAAGTGAAGTGCCACTCAATATAATCTTGGCAATCAATGCCTGGAAATATCATGGAACACTTCTGCATCCAAGGTGTCTTCGTGACGGTGAAGTGTCACTGAACGTATCCTCAGCAATGAATGCATAGAAATATCCCCTTCAAACTCTTCTGTCTCAAGGGTGTTTTCGGGGCAATGAAGTGCCACTGAACGTATCCTCAGCAATGAATGAATCGAAATATCCTCTTCAAACTCTTGTCTCAAATGTGTCTTCGTGGCAATGAAGTGCCATTCAATGTAATCTTGACAATTAATGCCTCGAGATGTCATAGAATTCTTCTAAATCCAAGGTGTCTTCGTGACAGTTAAGTGTCACTGAATGTATTCGAAGCAATCAATTCCTCGAAATGTCCTCATGGAATTCTTCTGCATCCAAGGTGTCTTCGTGACAGTGAAGTGTCACTGAATGTATTTAATCAATTAATCGAAATATCCTCTTCAAACCCTTCTCTCTCAAGGATGTCTTCATGACAGTGAAGTGCCACTCAATATAATCTTGGCAATCAATGCCTCGAGATGTCATAGAATTCTTCTGCATTCAAGGTGTCTTCGTGACAGTGAAGTGTTAAAGGAATG